CGGCGGGGCCCGCCAAAGCCCGCCTTTTGGCGGGGCGGGCTAAAAAGCCCGCCAAGAAAACGGGCATAGATAGGGGCAGCCCGCCCAGCCCCGCCTTAAGCCCGCAGGCCCCCGCCTAGCCCGCCAATATTTTTTTTTTTTTTTTTTTTTTTTGGTATCATGTATTCATGTGTCCCTAAAATCTAAACTCTAACATGAGTACATGACTATGTTAATAACTTAAATATTATCTACTTAAAACAATTATTCATAAGTAAATAACACGAATTAGTTCATCATGATTCATGACAACAATGACTCAATGAGTCGATGACACCGTAGTCCGTAGAGTCCAAAACATAAAAATTCAACATAATAGAGAGTTAAAAATTACAAAAGTTCATAACTACTTAACTACACAAGTTCATAAATTCAAACTACTTAACTACATAAGTTCATAAATCATAAGTCCATTACATCATTCCAATACGACAGTACAAAAAAATTATATACACTAAATGTCTAAATTCTCAATAAAGGGAATGATTATATATTTACAGTGTATCATTAATTCATTATATTTTCTCATAGTGTATCTCAATTCTGATTTCTGAATAAAGGGAATGATTATCTCATTTAATCAGTGATTATATATTTACAGATTGCTACCTAGTAAGCTATTTGATTGTCATAATATTTACTTGCATGCAGTAGCTTATTGACTGAGATACACTGTAAACAGATAGAACTGCAAAAACTGGTAATGCAAGGAAAAATAATTGAGATACACTGTAAGAAAATATAATTGAGATAGAATTGCAAGAATGTTATGACCTTGGAAAGTGGCAGTAAATAAGGCAGGAAAAGGAAGGCCAAAACGGTGTCGTAGGATCAGGCGGCAGTTGAAGTCGTTATGAACTTAAGCCAAACGGCGTCGTTGGAGAAGAACATTGAAGCAGTTAAGCCCTAATCAGACGACGTCGTTTCTACACTTAGCAGTTAGACTCCAGTAGCTTCGGTTGTTATTTTCCAGCTAGAGTTTGGGGAATCTGTTGGCTGTTAGTTATATTAAACAGTGTATTGGCTGTAAGGTTTTCCTCATGCTGATCAATAAGATTATTATTCTTCTTCTTCTCCCTTCTCTCTTCCTCTCAACCCCCAATTCTATCTCTTCTCTACTCTTTTTCCTGTTTATCTTCCAAGTCTACTGTAAATGGTATCAGAGCCCATGGATGATCGAATCAGGCACCTAGAGGCTTCCATCATAGAGCTCAACAGTAAAATTGACTCCCGATTTCAAGCCACACAAGACACTGTCACTGAGCAAATTGGGAATCTCAGGGAAGAACTGATGCAAGTACTAAGGTTGAATCGTCCCTCACTACCAGTGATGGGAAACTCCCCAGGGCAGTCTTCTGTACAAGGGGCGTTGGCTGAGGACCCCAGATCCATACCATAGGGAAGGCCGAACAAAACCCCAATGGTACCAGAGGATGAGGATGAAGTTGACCCTAGATTGGAGACCCCCAGAGGCTGTGGACAGATGGAGAGAAGGCCAGTGCTAGGAAGGCAACAACAAGAGTTTCTCATGAGGTATAAAAACGAGTTCCCTTCTTTTGATCATAGTAACCCTAGGCAATGGGTACTTAGATGTGAGAAATTCTTCATCCTGTCACACATTCCCAGACAAGAAATCCCAACCCTCCTTTATGTGCACCTAACTGGGAAGGTGGGAACCTGGTTTGACAGCTATATACACAACCTTAGGGAAGGGTTCCATTGGCCAGATTTTGCTAGGGATGTTTGTAAGACATTTGGGGAAACTGGAGTCTCCTTGATGGAGGATTTTGCTGCTCTGAAACAATGGGGAAGTATAGATGACTTTACTGATGAATTTGAGGGATTCAGGAGCTTGCTGCTTCAAGTCCATCCTTATCTGACTGAATCTTATTTTGTGGATAATTATGTTGCTAGACTGAAACAACAATTGAGGTGTCTGGTAAGGACTGCTAAACCTGTTAAGTTGGATGATGCCATATGGCTGGCAAGACAATATGAAAAAGGATTTAAACCATCTGAAGGAACCAAAACCACACCCTGGAACCCTAGACCCCTCCACTCTACTAGAAACATCACTCCCAACCCACAACAGACCACAACCAATAGCCTCTCCCACTCCAATCACCCTACTCTAAACAATCCATCTAAACCCTCACACTCTACTCAAACTACTGCTTCAAAAGGCCCTGACATCACCCAGTTCAAAAACCAACTCAGAGAGTAAAGAAGGTGTTTCAAGTGTTTTGACCCTTGGCAGCCTGGGCACAGGTGTAAGGGACCTACCTTCAACATCATTGAGGGACAGGAATCCTTTGAGTCCTCTTCCCTGGAGGAACAGGAGGAAAATGAGCAGGTGATGGAAGAAGCTGAGATCACACTTTGTGTTGTGGTAGGAGGGGAAGGTTTGAATACCATCAAATTGTTGGGCAGTGTGCAGAAACAGTCAGTGGTTATTCTGATTGATAGTGGCAGTACCCATAGTTTCTTAGACCCCAAGTTGTTGAGCCAACTAAGAAAAGAGCCTGAGAAGACAACCCCACTGATAGTAACTGTTGCCAATGGGGATAAAGTCATGAGTGACTCAATTTGCCCAGGGCTTTGTTGGCAAATCCAGCAGGAACAATTCAGGAAGGATTTTAGACTGTTGAAGTTGGGGGGTTGTGACATGGTGTTGGGAATGGATTGGGTGGATCAATTCGCCCCAATTCAGCTCCACACCAGGCCTCCTGGAATTTCTTTCCACAAAGATGGTAGAAAGGTTTTCCTGAAGGGACTAACAAGGAGAGTTATGTTGAAAGTAGCTTGTGACAAACAGCTGAGGAGATGGCATAAGACAGGTGTGCAGGGATTCTTGGTCCAAGGAAGTGATTCACCACCTCTACAAATTACTGAACCATCCACTTACTACCACACTATCACCCAGCCAGCATTTCCTGAGCTGGCACAGTTATTACAAGAGTTTCAGGATCTGTTTCAAGAGCCCTCCTGTCTACCCCCCCCCCCCCCCAAAGAACCCTTGATCACTCCATCCCTTTAATCCCTGGAGCCAAACCAGTCAACATTGGGCCTTATAGATACTCCTATAACCAGAAAAACATTATTGAAAGAATGGTAGAGGAAATGCTTACTGCTGGGACCATCACTACCAGCACTTCCAGTTTTGCTTCCCCTGTGTTACTAGTACCAAAGAAAGACAACACCTGGAGATTTTGCATAGATTACAGAGCACTCAACAACATTACCATCAAAAAACAAATTTCCCATACCTCTTGTTGAAGATCTATTCTCAGAACTAGCTGGGGCAACCTGTTTTTCTAAACTAGACCTAAGGTCTGGATACCATCAAGTAAGAATGAAGGAAGGAGAGGAGTACAAAACGGCTTTCAAAACTCACCATGGGTTATATGAGTTTAGGGTTATGCCGTTTGGGCTGACCAATGCCCCAGCCACCTTTCAGGCCCTAATGAATTCAGTCTTCAAGCATTTGTTAAGGAAGTCAGTTCTGGTGTTTTTTGATGACATCCTGGTATATAGCAGAGGGTTGGAAGATCACTGGCAGCACCTTAAAGAGGTCCTAACCATCATGAGGCTGCATCAATTATATGCTAAGTTAAGTAAGTGTTTCTTTGCTCAGCCAAAAGTAGAATACTTAGGGCATTTAATCTCCCAGGAGGGGCTTCAAACTGATCCAGCAAAGCTTGAGGCAGTGGCAGCCTGGCCTAAACCTGCAACTGTAAAAGCTTTGAGAGGATTCTTGGGGTTAGCTGGTTATTACAGGAGGTTTATTAAGGCCTATGGGATCATCAGTAAGCCTCTATCAGACATGCTTAAAAAGGATGCCTTCTGTTGGACTGCTGAATCTGAACAAGCATTTGAACAATTGAAGAATGTGTTTTGCCACTCCCCAGTTCTAGCCTTGCCTGATTTTGGTAAAGAGTTTGTTATTGAAGCAGATGCAAGCCATAGGGGAATGGGAGCTGTCCTTATGCAGGAGGGCAGACCAGTGGCTTTTTTTCAGTAAAGCTTTTGGAGGGAAACACTTAGGGATATCCATATATGAGAAAGAGTACTTGTCTATAATTAATGTTGTGGATAAGTGGAAGCCATACCTCATGGGAAGACACTTCACCATCAAAACTGATCACCACAGTTTACAATTCCTGTTAGAACAGAAGATAACTACTGCCTTACAACAAAAGGGACTCTCTAAATTGCTAGGATTGGATTATTCAATCCACTACAAGAAGGGGATTGACAATAGGGCTGCTGATGCTTTGTCTAGAAGGGAAGATGGAGATAGGGCTGCCACCTTTGCTATTTTAGCAACTCAGCCCCAGTGGATGGAGGATGTTGCTAAGAGTTACACTAATGATAGCTGGGCTGCTGACACCTTGACCTCTGCCCTGGTTAACCCTTCTGTTGATCCTAATGTTTCTGTGATAGGGGGCCTCATAAGATACAAGAATAGACTATATGTGGGCAGTACAGGCAACTTGAGGAAGGAGTTGATGTTACAACTGCATGAGTCAGCTGTTGGGGGGCATGCTGGACAAAATGGCACTTACCAAATGTTGAAAGCTTTGTTTTACTGGAAGGGCCTTAAAAGAGATGTGATAGAGATGGTCCAAAGGTGTGACATTTGTCAAAAATGCAAGGGGGAAAATGTGGTTAACCCTGGCTTATTGCAACCCCTACCTATCCCTGATGGAGCTTGGCAAAGTGTGTCCATGGACTTCATAGAGGGGCTGCCCAAGTCAGGAAACAAGGAAGTTATAATGGTGGTAGTAGATAGGCTGACCAAATATGCACATTTCATCAGTCTAAGCCATCCATACACTGCTGAAAAGATTGCAGATTTGTTTATGGAGAATGTCTACAAGCTGCATGGTCTTCCAAAAAGTATAATCTCTGACAGAGACAAGGTCTTCACAAGCAAGTTTTGACAAGCTTTATTCAGAAAAATGCAGGTGAAATTGAATCTATCTACTGCATACCACCCGCAGACAGATGGACAAACTGAGAAAGTCAATCAGTGTGTTGAGAGGTATTTGAGGTGTATGGCATTTCAGAAACCTCACAGTTGGGAAAATGGCTCCACTTAGCTGAGTGGTGGTACAACACCAACTTTCATACAGCCTTGAAAGGCACCCCTTTCCAAGCTTTGTATGGGTATTCTCCTCCTTAGTTGGCACTGTCAGGAAATACTGGTGGGGACAATCTGGATTGGGTAGCATCAAGGGAAGCTATGTTGACAACACTCAAAGAAAACCTCAGGCAGGCTCAAAATCGAATGAAGGTACAAAAGGATAAAAGCAGGAGTGAGAGAGTACTGAATGTAGGGGATTGGGTATATCTTAAGATCCAACCCTACAGGCAGGTTTCTGTGGCTGTCAGAAGGAACCTGAAACTATCAGCTAAATATTATGGGCCCTATGAGGTGATTGAGAGGATTGGGGAAGTTGCTTATAAGTTGTCCTTACCCTCAGGCACATTACTACACCCTGTCTTCCATGTATCCCAGCTCAAAAAGAAGGTGGGAGAGGGAGTGGTAGTCCAATTTGATCCTCCATCTGTGGGAAAAGAGGGGCAGATACTAACAGCTCCCATTGCAGTACAGGGAAAACGTCTGGTGAAGCAAAACAATAGAGCAGTCACTGAGCTGCTAGTTCAATGGGCCAACTTACCTCCAGATAAAGCAACTTGGGAAGAATATCACCACCTCAAGAGCCAATTCCCTTCTTTTGATCCTTGGGGACAAGGATCCTCTGAAGGTGGGGGTGGTGTTATGACCTTGGAAAGTGGCAGTAAATAAGGCAGGAAAAGGAAGGCCAAAACGGTGTCGTAGGATCAGGCGACAGTTGAAGTCGTTATGAACTTAAGCCAAACGGCGTCGTTGGAGAAGAACATTGAAGCAGTTAAGCCCTAATCAGACGACGTCGTTTCTACACTTAGCAGTTAGACTCCAGTAGCTTCGGTTGTTATTTTCCAGCTAGAGTTTGGGGAATCTGTTGGCTGTTAGTTATATTAAACAGTGTATTGGCTGTAAGGTTTTCCTCATGCTGATCAATAAGATTATTATTCTTCTTCTTCTCCCTTCTCTCTTCCTCTCAACCTCCAATTCTATCTCTTCTCTACCCTTTTTCCTGTTTATCTTCCGAGTCTACTGCAAAGAACTGGTAGGGCAAGGAATCATTCCCTTTATTCATACTTCAGGCAGTTCAGTGATTATATATTTACAGTGTAAAGGGAATGAAAAAAAAAAACAAATTACCTGGAGGCTGGACAGTGAAGTGCGGTGGACGAGTGGTGGACGAGCGGTGGATGCGCGGTGGGTCGCCGGCGACTCGCGATGGACGAACGCACTCTCGCTCTCGGACAGTGAAGTGCGCCGGTGTCTCGCAATCAGACTGAGCGTCTCGTCTCGCACAGTTGCACTCCCTCTCGCATAAACGAATAGCGGAATAGGGATTAGGGTTTTTTTTTTTTTTTTTACTTTTTACTTTTTAGACTTTTAGAATTTAAACATATTTAGAAATTAGAATATTAAAAAAAAAAAATGCAAGCGGGCTAGGCGGGGCGGGTAAAAAAGCCCGTTTTTAATACGGGATTCTAAACCACGAGCCCGACCCGTCCTTTTGGCTGGACGGGGCGGGAAAGCCCGGCAGGCTAAGCCCATTTTGACAGCTCTAAAGGTGACGGAGGAGATATGAGAGAAATGACAGGTTTGCCCTCACACTTAACGTCCATTTGACAGCAAACATAACGGGAGGATCACGACTAGTTATTTTTGAAAAGATGGAAGACGTCTCGTGATCGTTTAAAAGTATATGTCCACAGCTGGTATATGACTAATACTCGGAAGACCATTGAAGGTATTAACTCTTAAAATTTTACAAATTTTTAGTGGGTGCATCCCAAAGGTGACATACTAGGAATAATAATAATAATAGACTTATAGACATTTTTAGATTTTAGATTTAGATTTGAGTTAATACCCAAAATCGTCCTCGACTATAGTGATTTTTCTCAATTTCGTCCTAAACGACTTTGGTGACCTAATATCGTCCCAGACTTTTGTGTTTCGCTCAATTTTGTCCTCCATTTGTTATTCCGTCAAATTGGTGTTAAATAAAGAGACAATTCAGTAATGTCAATATTGATCTCTCTTTACTTTCAACTTGTGAAGTGCGAAATTCCTCTTTCTTGTACGAATTACACCCACAATTACTCCCGGACCTACAAATCAAATTTTATATTCGCAGTTTTAGGAGTAATTCTGGGAGTAATTCGTAAAAAAAAAAAAGGATTTCGTAGTTCACATGTCTATGAGTAAAGAGATGTCAATATTAAAATTACTGAATTGTCCATTTATTTAACACCAAATGGACAGAATAACAAATGAAGGACTAAATTGAGCAAAAACACAAAAGTCTGGGACTAAATTGAGCGAAACACAAAAGTCTAGGACGATATTAGGTCACCAAAGTCGTTTAGGACGAAATTGAGAAAAACCACTATAGTCGAGGACGATTTTGGGTATTAACTCATTTAGATTTTATTCCGAAGTTCTGAGGAAAAATTGAAACGCAGAAGCATGGAGGCTTCAAAAGAGGGAGCGTTTAACAGATTGAGAGAAACATAGATGTGAGAAATTCGCATCCAAATTTGAAGCAGCTAAAGTTCGAGAGCACATATTGTCGACTGTCAGGTCTGCCGGAAAATCTGATTTCAGAAACTACGACTTTTCAAGGAGATCGGCCGGCGCATTTTTACATCAATTACACATAGGGTATGTATAGAGTATCTTATCTAGAGGCATTGAAGCGTACTTCACATCCTAATTTATTAGAAGTTTTTGGAAGTTTGCTGCCATGGCAGCTTGGTCTTCTTCCTATGTGACCTCCGAATTTATTTATTTATTTATTTATTTTGGTTTGTTATGATCATCCATACAATGTTTTCTTGTTATTAATTGTAACCAACTGATGCACACCTTAGATTCATCATCTTCTCCGAATCTCCGATCTCTGATCTCTCCCCCTTTTCAACTACAACAACATAATGGCGGTTGTTACGGCGGTTCGAGACTACATCAATCGCATGCTACAGGACATTTCTGGAATGAAGGTCCTCATTCTCGACTCCGATACGGTTCGTCACTTTCCCCTACCAGTAATTCATTTCATTAAACAGTGCTCTCGTCAGTTAATTGTGCTTTATTTTTCATTTTTCTGTTGGATTTAGTAATAGAAACAATATGTGTGAAAATTTACCTGCTTTAATCGGAACTTTAATTGATTTCTTCCTTTTGAATTGTTGAAACTCTACCAATGATTTTTTTTTTCCCTCCCCCTTCCCCTGGATTACACTTTGGAAATTTAGGTTTTCTTGAATTGAAAATTTCTTCGTAAGCTAGTAAGGTACCGGGCTTGGAATAAATATAGATTACTAGAGGAAAACATTGTCATTGATATATTTAGGAAGCTTAGTATATGGAGAGCTTTGATCTTCATCTTGTTGGGTAAAAAGAAAAACACTACTAATTAGTAATTACTAAATTATTAACTGGATGTTGAGAAAACTGAGCTGACATTTTAGGATATAACTGAAACATGAGTGTTGATTATTTAGTGGAAATATCAGTTTAAGCAGTATTTCTTAAGTTATTGTAGGTGAGTATTGTGAGTGTGGTGTATAGTCAATCAGACCTTCTTAAGAAGGAAGTGTTTCTTGTGGAGCTGCTGGATTCTACTTCTATGTCCAAGGAATCGATGTCGCATCTTAAAGCAGTCTATTTTCTGAGGCCAACATCGGAGAATATTCAGCACATGAGGCGTCAATTGGCTAAGCCTAGGTTTGGAGAATATCACCTTTGTAAGTATCATGTGAAAGAAGTCTTTAATTTAAGTAGATGCTGAGAATGTACTAAATTTTTAATCTGAAACTGCACGGACTTCTATGATATGTGCTCTTGAAAACACGACACAGCACTCTTCAGTTATTATAATATCCATCAAGGCATCACCTGTAAAATAATGTTTAATTGAAGTTATTTCTTCTTTTCCTTTGCCACTTTATGCAGTTTTCTCAAACATATTGAGAGATACTCAGATTCATATTTTAGCAGATTCAGATGAACATGAAGTGGTGCAGCAACTGCAGGTACCTTAAGATTCACTGTAAAGAACTATTTTAGATGAAATTGTTTTATCATCTCTGTCTCATGGCATACATCATGTTATTATATCTCAAAAATAGTATTAATGTTATGGAATACTGAAAATATGTAAAAAAGAAAGTATCATGTAAGGATTTTAGCATGATCAGTGATTGCAATAATTCCTTTTGGTCTGAGAAATAGATATTGGTTGTGCCCCAACAGTGATTTATTTGATTTGTAGGAATTTTATGCAGACTTTGTTGCAGTTGACCCCTACCATTTCACTCTTAATATGGTATCAAACCATATGTACATGCTTCCGGCAGTTGTTGATCCATCTGGTTTGCAACGTTTTTGTGATAGAGTGGTTGATGGACTTTCTGCTCTTTTTCTTTCTTTAAAACAAAGGCCTGTTATTCGATATTCACGGACATCTGATATTGCAAAAAGGGTAGCACAAGAAGCAGCGGTGAGCATTTCTCTATTTTTGGGATATTTCTTTTCAAGTTTTTAACTTTTGATACAATCTTATCTTCATCTATGCAGAATCTTTTTTTTTTCTTAGTTCCATATATTTTCTTCTTCTTCTTTCAATGACTTAGCTGAGCTAATGCCAAATAGATTGGGATTAAGTCTTAGATAGTTGAGTTTGGTGACTGAGTTGCACTAGGAAGAGGCTCAGTGAATGTATATTTGAGATGCAAAATGTTGACCAATTTCTCTCTCCTTGATTTGCAGAAACTGATGTACCAGCAGGAAAGTGGTCTTTTTGATTTCAGACGGTCAGAAGTTTCTCCTTTGTTACTAATAATTGACAGGAGGGATGACCCTGTTACTCCATTACTTAATCAATGGACCTATCAGGTATTTCATTTTCCTGGCCCATATGTTAATCTTCTTGTAAATATGTTGGAAGTTAAATGGACCTCATGCCTTGTTCATTGCTTCTGCTTTCCTAGGCAATGGTTCATGAATTAATAGGTATCCAAGACAATAAGGTAGATCTTAGAAGCATCGGCAAGCTTCCTAAGGATCAGCAGGTTTGATGTAATTTACTCTTGTAGTGCCTTTCTGCTTCCTACTTTTTTTTTTTTTGTTGCAAATTTTGATGCATTCGGCTATTCTCATGTTTTAGGAGGTTGTACTGTCATCAGAGCAAGATTCATTTTTCAAAGCTAATATGCATGAAAACTTTGGAGACATAGGAATGAATATTAAAAAGATGGTGGATGTTTTCCAACAAGTTTCAAAAAGTAATCAGAACATCCAGACAATAGGTTCGTATGCAGAAGATTTATTAAGCTTTATCTTTGTTTCTGTTCGGGTTTTATAACAGCTATGACCTACATAAATATTGCTTTCAACTTTTCAGAGGACATGGTTAAATTTGTAGACAACTATCCAGAGTACAAAAAAATGCATGGCAATGTTTCAAAGCATGTAACCCTGGTTACTGAAATGAGCAAATTAGTTGAAGAAAGAAAACTAATGTTAGTTTCACAAACAGAACAAGAATTGGCATGCAATGGTGGACAGGGAGCAGCATTTGAGGTAGTCAGCCTTTTTATCTATATTTGATCATAATTTCTTGCCTAAATTCATATTTCCTGCATAAACTGGTTCTCGGTGCTACAGATGTGATATATAGTAAA